GATCAAGGTCAAGGTAAAGGGTCATTCCGTGTCAAATCACCCAAAAAAAATGCAATTCTTAACCCCACCCCCCTAGATTTGGGTTAAACTTTCTTTTTATGGGGGTTTGGGGCAAAAACGGTCAATTTTCAAATTTCAGCTCAATCGGACCAGCGGTTTGGCCGCTATGACCTGTCCAATTTTGGCAAAATGGGCCAAATTTGGCGAAGCGCCCTATCTATGAACGTCCATAAATCAGTAACCACTGGCCCAATCTTGATGGGAATGGTATCTTTGGAAAGGGAATTGCCTAAGGATTCCAAATCTATTTAAGGTAGGAGTAAGTTAAAAGTTGATGATCTCTTGACCTTAGCGTTTAGCTTCTGTATGTATTCGTGTTCAAAGTAACTGGATTTTATGACAAACCAATTAAATTCAAGTTAAATTGCACGGAGAAGTGTTTTTTGATTTGCTTTTGCAGACTACTGAGGAATATTACACCTCTGGTTCTTTTATATTTTGTGGAAAACATGTTGGGCTATAATTTTGGCCTATTTTCATTTCAAAGTCGCAAGGGCAACAAGGTCAAATTCAAGGTCAACGCTAAGGTCAAGAGATCATCAACTTTTAACTTACTCCTACCTTAAAAACAATGGCAGATTTGGAATCCTTAGGCAATTCCCTTTCCAAAGATACCATTCCCATCAAGATTGGGCCAGTGGTTACTGATTTATGGACGTTCATAGATAGGGCGCTTCGCCAAATTTGGCCCATTTTGCCAAAATTGGACAGGTCATAGCGGCCAAACCGCTGGTCCGATTGAGCTGAAATTTGAAAATTGACCGTTTTCGCCCCAAACCACCATAGAAAGTAAGTTTCAGCCAAATCTGAGGGGGTGGGGTTAAGAATTGCATTTTTTTTGGGTGATTTGACACGGAATGACCCTATAATCACCTGTAAATGCCGATCAAATACTCAACTGCAACACACAAGTACACCACACGCTAACTGCTGCACACTGACACATAAATATATAGCAGGTAGGAAAGCGTGCTGCCAAAATTCGATCGACGCTCGCTTGATTTCATACGAATACAACACAAATATTCAACCATTCTACTCCATCTTTGTTTCTATTTGAAGAACAATGTTCACTTGTTATAAAAACATAATGTCTGTGTTCGTAACCGAGCTGTGTCACGCGAAATCACACAAAGCCTGACGAAATTCTCGCGTTCGCTCCCGTTGCGCAGTTTATGTAACTGCATGGCTGCAAGTACAGGGCTATAGGTGGCGCACTGCATTTTGGGAAACTACCACGCTGCTTTCCAACTCCCATGTGAGCCCCGTCAAAGCCGCCAGTAGAGCGTTGCGGCGCAAAAATGAGGTCACAAAGAGCACCGGTGGGTGTTCCCTGATTCCAACAGCCATTAATTTTACATAAACTGCGCAACGGGAGCGAACGCGATAATTTCGTCAGGCTTTGTGTGATTTTGCGTGACACAGCTCGGTTACGAACATAGACAGTATGTTTTTATAACAAGTGAACACTGTTCTTCAAATAGAAACAAAGATGGAGTAGAATGGTTGAATATTTGTGTTGTATTCGTATGAAATCAAGCGAGCGTCGATCGAATTTTGCCAGCACACTTTCCTACCCGTTATATATTTATGTGTCAGTGTGCAGCAGCTTTAGCGTGCGGTGTACTTGTGTGTTGCAGATGAGCATTTGGACAGCATTTACAGAAAATTGTCGGCAATGAAAGCGAGTAGAGAAACATTAAGACTTTGGTAGTAAATAGATTTCGTATTTATGTATAGCATTATATTTTATTGAAACGCTCCAAGTGCCTGTGACCGAGACCAGCATGTCGCACGGAATAACTTTCCCCCGGGCGTAGATGGAGGGTCACGTGATGTGGCTGCACTTGTGTTAGGATTAGGGTTAGGGGAGAGGTTAGGGTTAGGGCTAGCCACAAGTTCCCTTCTCACTTAACACTACGTTGCCGAGAGGTTTCACAAGCCGACGCAATAGAATATTGTTCGGCACGACGTGCGCTGCTATTAAACGTAAAATTATCTAACTTTTTATGATTCTTATCGCTTCTCTGTGCTTCCACGCCTCGATTTATTATATGTGCGCTATCACTGAGCATGTATATACGTGTCAGCGAGTAATTATTAGAATTGATAAGATGAAACTGCGAACAAACACCGCCATTTTCCAATAGATATCCCATAATACGTAGCAAAAGTTCGTAAATTTTTGCGTACAAAAAGAGACATAAGAACATCCATTGTTTTCAAGCAACCAGGCATTTCGTAAGGAAGGGTGTCAGGCTCCTACGATGTATAACAGTCGGAGAGCCTGGTCGGTTTAGGTTAGGGTTAGTGCTGCCACATAGCGGTACCCTCCCTCTACGCCCAGGAGAAAGCACAGGCACTTGGAACGTCTCAATAAAAAAAATTAATGGTAAATAAACACGAAATGTACCAAAGTCTTAATCTTTCTCTACTCTATTTCACCTATAATCACCTGTAAATGCCAGTCAAATGCTCATCTGCAACACGCAAGTACACCGCACGCGCGCGCTGTGCACAAACAACATGAATAAGAGAGCAGGTAGGAAAGCATGATCGCGAAATTCGCTCGACGCTCGCTTCATTTCACACCTTCACAGCAAAAATACACATCCAACAGCTTCCATCTTGGTATCTATGTGTACATAAATGTTCACTTGTTCGAATTATAACTCTGGCCTTTGTCCTTACCTACTCCCGCCAGAGATATCTCGTGAAATCCTGCAGGAAATGTTCTCTCCGTGAAAATGTAGAGGACAACATGATTCGAAAATCCCCAACGGCGCTACTTTCGATCGATCGCTGTAGTCGTGTGTGCGTGACGTCATGCCCACGCGCATTATGCTTGGCTTGGCGGGCCTCGAAACGGAGCTCGGAGGCCGGCAGCAGCTCATCCCGGCATGCAATGCGCCCCATTACTCGTGTATAAACAGACATCTCGTCCTCTTTACATTTTCACGGAGAGAACATTTCCTGCAGGATTTCACGAGATATCTCTGGCGGGAGTAGGTAAGGACAAAGGGCAGAGTTATAATGCGGTGTACTTGTGTGTTGCAGATGAGCATTTGAACGGCATTTACAGCAAGTTATCGGCAATAATAGACGAAATAGAGTAGAGAAACATTAAGACTGGTACTGGTGGTAAATACATTTCGTGTTTACATTTTTTTATTTATTGAGACGTTCCAAGTCACAAGTGCCTGTGCCTGTGGGGGAAAGTGACACCCTATGTCGCACCGGGACGACCCCGGTGAGAACGGGACACTTGGGACGTCTGGGTACAGACAACAGTTCTTTAAAATACGGTTAATAATATGGTTTTCCCTTTTTACGGTTTTTAATGAACTGGCAACTGCGTAGGTTCGTTAGTAGTACTAGTACTAGTAGTACTACTACTAGTACTAGTAATAGTAGTATTACTAATACGGTAATACTAATAATAGTAATACTATGTCTATGACTATGAGTAAACAGTATATTAAAGCACTTCAGTTTTAGTAGGACTACGTAAGTTGTATGTATGTTTGTTCACTTAGTGCGTAACCAGAATTATTAGAAGCACAGTTAAATTAGTAATGACATATACCTTCATAGTTATCTGCGTTGGGTCAACGAATTCCTGATGGAGTCCGTAACAAAGCTTCGAAATGCGCGACGTGATTTTATCAAACATCACTCGCTCTTTCTTGCCGTTTCTCTTTAGGACGTACATCCTTACAATCTTAGTTCAAAACTCACACTTAAAAAGGGAACAACTTTGTGTAAGAAATAAACAGGAATACGTTGAATAGAATGAGGAGACTCAGAATCTCAACGGTATTCGACACGACAAACTCAACTCAGTCAACTGCCCCAATTGTCGATTTCCCGCCAGATCTGCGCGCCAAACTAGACTGGTACTCGCTCCCACCTCGATTACCCATCGAGTAACTAAGCCGAGATGTGGGAGCGAGTACCAGTCTACGCGGGAAACATGCTACTGTGGCCCCACCGTTGGCCGTATTATTAATTAGAATGTATTATTTATTATGACTACTTTATTATACTACATATATCCATATATCACATGTTAGAAAAATTTTACACACATACAAATGATCTAATGGGTAAATTATAGTTTTAAATCTATAGTGTTCTTCGTTTGACAATATCTTTTAGTTATGTATAGAAATTAATAGCGTCGCAGTTGTCTGTTTAATTATCATTATTATGTACCATAAAAATCAATAAATATAGTAGCTAAATAGTATTTTTTCTGTTATTCGTAATAAATGTATTATTATACATATTAATAACATACAAGTATAAACCATAATATATTAATTATAGTAAATACCTCTACCGTCTACGTTTAGATTACCAAAATTTAGACAACAAACAACATTGTTTTCGATAAAATTTATATTTTACACGTTTATTTCCACACGTTCATATCCTGTATACTTCTAACAGTATATACTAGAGAACATTTCACAATAGCCTGCCAAATTAGATACGAGTTAGCAATATTGGGCCTTGATACACTGGAACATGATTGTATTGTTTGTCGTTATAAAATATAATATGCGTTAGGTACATATAGACAGGTAAGTAAGCTACTCATGTAATAATAAACCAATGCACTTGTAACAGCAATTAAGCATGTGGTATTAGAGACGTGTGGTAAAAGTAATATGAAATAAAACTGATTTAACACCATATTGCAATGAATGCCAACTACTATTTTCGTTGGGAAAAATTAGCACATACACGTGTTATAACAGATTTGTTTTGGGCTATTTCTAATTGTTTTATACTGTCTATTAACAAAAGACAATTTGGAGACATAGACACCTTGGTCCCAGGAATGTATCCAACTAGCTGAAAAACTGCTATCCAATCTAAATAGTTGAACTAACATATAAATTCGATGGAGATTGATATCAAGTTTAAATTTGTTTTGTCTTTTATCTATTAATTCCTATAGCAAACAGGTTTGCTCTGAATAGCAAATCAGAGAAACCTGATAGATGCTCAAAAATATTCTTTGCACTCATTAAGTGCAAGAAGGAATATTACAAATTACATGTCAGGCATATAATTATATTTGTGCTTTGACACAATAAGCACAAATAAACAGTTCAATACCGCATTGTGAGAGTTAAACAACATTCGGCTTTTACAGATCTTTGAGGCTAGTACTCATATATTATCCCAAGCTATAATATAATTTTTATAAGTTCCAGTCACTACACTAGAGTCAACATCATCAAAACATGTACAAAAAGAATAATTAACAAATTCAAACACATGCAGCACGTCTACCGCACAAATACATCTGTGTTTCTGAAACTTGAATTGTCTTTCAGACTATCCAGGTGCATTTTATATTCCATAATAGTGTTCGGAGGAAGATTTAGTACTCGTTTCAAGGTGTCACGAATTCTTGACGTAGTTGCCTGATCACTGGCAGTCTTGTTCCACACTGAAATGATATCCTCTTGAAATCGAACCGATACGACCGCGCCACATATCTCTTCGCCAACCATAAACTGTTCCCCGAGCATTGCCAGGATAAGATTCTCCCAGGCCCTAGATGCCAGGCCTTTTCTCAAGCGCACAATCCACTTGCCACCCTCTTTATTTGCCGGATCTTCCCACATTGGCTTCACACCATCTTTGAAGAGATGCAAATCACTGTGTCCTGTGAGGTCGCCGGGTCGTCCCATGTGGCTGTAATACGCCCAGAATTGTTCAACAGATGCAACTGTCCCGACGTATTTAATGTTCTGCTCAAAATTTAGAGACGATGCTTGCCGACCCGGAAATCGTGGTGTGAACCAGAATGTGTAGGCAAACTGCAGCGCGTGTTCACCTGCGAATAACAATGTAAACTTTAGCACATAATCGATAAACCACATACAAACGTATTCGTTTAGAGTTCATAATTTTACGGAACTGACGTGCCGTTCGGCATGCCATTGTTTTTCTAACAATTTATACTTAATACTATATATAATATTACATTATACATATTATTTTTATTATAAACTATCATCAAACCAGCTAATATAAGGGAACAATAACTTGTAGAACAAAAGCCAACTATAAGGTGCTCCATTTTCCTGGTAACAGATAATGAACTCTGGTAAAAATGGGGGGGGGACCAATTGAAGGATTATAATAACATGAACTCAAGCTAAGGTCAAAGCGGTCACTAAGTTTGCTGCAGTATAAATCCTGAGACAGAATAGACTGTTTAGACATGGGCCTGTACGGTGAAGGTTTGCATATATATATATATATCTGGTATGACTGCCACATAAGTCATAACAGAAGAATCACAGGCACTTGGAACGTCTCAATAAAAAAAATTAATGGTAAATAAACACGAAATGTACCAAAGTCTTAATGTTTCTCTACTCGCATTTTTTAATTTTTTTCTCTATTTCGCCTATAATCACCTGTAAATGCCAGTCAAATGCTCATCTGCAACACGCAAGTACACCGCACGCCCGCGCTGTGCACAAACAACATGAATAAGAGAAGTGCGTTATTATATCTCTCTGTATTATATAAGATCTAATCTATCTCTAATTATGCTAATTATCATAGAATAATCATAATCATAATGCTATGATCATAATCATCATTAATATAATCATATAATGCTCATAATCATAATAATGCTAATTATAATAGAATAATCATCTAATTATGCTAATAATCTATCTCTAATTATCTCTAATTATCTAATCTCTCCCTTATATAACGCTTTAGAGAGCGCGTTATAGCGCTCTCTTATTCATGTTGTTTGTGCACAGCGCGGGCGTGCGGTGTACTTGCATGTTGCAGATGAGCATTTGACTGGCATTTACAGGTGATTATAGGCGAAATAGAGTAGAGAAACATAAAGACTTTGGTACATTTCGTGTTTATTTACCATTCATTTTTTTTTATTGAGACGTTCCAAGTGCCTGTGAGAAGAATGATAGAGTTAGCATACTACGTTAGAAAGCAGTTACAAGTTTTTTGGTACTGTGTTATATCCTGCACACAGCCTACATAATAAACTATGCTAACTTCACATTTCAGCTATGTCGCATTTCCTGCAGAAATGGACAAACTGTCATGGTAGACTGAAATAGTTGGGTAAGCGTTAACATAGTACTCTTACACAAATTCACAATGTCAATAACTTCACACGTGACATATGCACAAACTGAAGAGAGATTTGGGCTATGTTTCTTGCGGTCAACACGGTCATATTTTCCAATGAGTGGGTGTTGGGCTGTGTACTGACGTCGTCAGTCTCACAGCCTGATCGGGCTAGTAGTACTAGTAGTAGTAGGACTGAAGTAAAGACTAAAAGTAAAAGTAGGAAACTAGGCCTAGTAAAAGTAAAGCAGAGACAGACCTGGGCCTGGTGTTACAGGTTCCCGTTCTTCTTTCATGTCCTTGTTTTCATTGTCAGAGTCATCGCTGTCGGATGTCTTTAAAGCATCAAATTTGTTATTATTCATGTTGTAATGTGTTCAGATCCCTGCTAAATACAGATAAACACAAAATCCTTGTTAAATATTGCAAACAGACTTGACTAGCTCTATAAACTTCACGTAACTCTTATGATTTTTTACAAGAACCGTGGTACGTGCTGCCATCTATAGTATCGCTGTGCGTTATTTTCTTTTTTATGTGAGGGGTGCAGTAAAGCGAGCTTATAATATATCAAAATCCAGAAAAATACATTTATAGACAACTGTTATACATATTATTAAAAATCACACGTGATTATATTTTTTAATGCTAGTGCAACGTTTTCGCAATCTGTGTGCATTGCCATCCTAAACGACAGCCAAGCGTGTCTAATGATTTTTCTATTGTCGCTGACATAGAAATAGATATATACCTCGAGGATATACCTATTTCTATATGCCAATAACAGGTATATATTTCTAGGGTCCTTGATATACGCAACGGACGTGTTTCATCTATTCATCTTCATTTCGTTTAGCTGTCTTATTCAATTGACTATGTCACGATTTTTCTATGGTGTAGGTATATTTGTAAAAATTTTGTTCGTAAAAAAAAGTAAGTAAAACGGGACCAAATGTATCCACAAACTCTTCCTGATACGATTGTTTCTCAACTAGGTAAAAATCCAAAAAAACCTAGGCGATCTGATATTATGATCACAACATTAAATGCTTGTTATGTGCTATATGTATGAGTCACTCGTGAGTGCATGTTTGTTCACATCGAATAGAATAGAAAAATAGGAAGTATAGTGCAGCAATTCAAGCATAAAAAGTGAACAGAATCACTTGCATTTTGTGAAAAAGTGTACATGATTTATTTACGTTTACTGTTTGCGGTGACGTAATCACTTTCAATACACAGTTTTACTCGAACCCCGCAGAGTATATATATAGTAAAATGAATATCGAAATGTCTCACTGTAATGGTTATAAGACATCCAGTTATTTCCGAATTTTCTGTTTTTTCCCGAAAGTGTAGCTTATACTACGAACTTATATATATATATATATATTACCTATATATCTATGTTATCTGTACGAGAATAGATATGTTCATAATAATAGTGCAGATATGTTGATTATTATAGGGTCAGGTGCGTGCTCATGTACTCACGAGTAGTTTAAGAAGGAAGACGGACGGAGTGGGAAGTGGAAAGATAGAGGACTGGAAGAAAGCGGAATGAAAAAGAAGGGGGTGCGGCTGAATGAGGAGGAGGGGGAGGCCGGAGGATGGGGAGGAGGAGGAGGAAGAGGAGGAGGAGGAGGAGGAAGAGGATGAGGAGGAGGAGGAGGAGGAGGAGGAGAAATATCGCTATTTGTTATCGCTGTTATTGCAGAGTAGCACAAAATACTGTTAATTTTACCATGGCGGACATGTGTGTTATATACAATAACGAAATTTAACGAAATCGCGTAGCCAATTCATCTGAGCACAGGTTTATTACAGATATTAAACATTGAATAATACAGTTTAACACAAGCATTCAGACAGATAGATAACAGCAACAGACCTATATACTCGTAATTATAGAACAAATACAAATATAACGTGCGACTACTTGAACGAATGATTATTGAAATCACTTATTCGGTATTTATACCACGTAAACTGAATGCATACAAGACACGCGTAATACGTAACACGCATCATAGCGATAGTCTGAATCTATAGCGATATTGTTTCTAAACCAAGTGTCATCCACTATTAGTGCGCTCCTTGAAACATAGGAAGGGAACTTTCTAATCAGATTACCCTTAATTTACATGCTGCTTTAGTTATTGTCGAACAACTACACGCGCGTGATAAATCGGATGTCGGCTGCTGACGTTGGCTTCAGTAGAGTTCTGACGACCACCTCAGGATCTTTCGAGGATCCGGCGACGAGTTTGAAGTTCTGCACAATCTGCAGGTATACATAATATACACACGTGTAGTTCCTTGTAATAATCGCGATCCAAGAAAGCTGCCACCTAATCTCTCTCATCCCACATTTCTCCCCTATTCCAGCCTCCCATTCCACATTCCTTCCTGTGTTTCCTTCACTTGTTCTCTATAGCTCGCGGTCTCTTTCTTACTCTTCCTCTCCCACTTCCACTCACTGAGAAAAAGCAAAAGAATACGAAGACTATGTCTATGTTCATGTCTATCTCTCTCGTCCTCTCTCGTCTCTCTCTTCTTCTCTCGTCGTCATGGTGCGGTCTCTCTCTCTCTACTCTCTCTCTCTTCTTTGTGCTCTCCGCTCTCTCTCGTCCTCTCTCTCACTACGACATACATATACACACATACTACATATACACCGCAAAACACAACGCGCATACACACAACAACACAACCACACCACACGACATCACACCACACACAGCACACACACCACCACACACATCACGCCACACACTGCCCACACACACACACAGCATACACACACACACACACACAGCACACACACACAACACACACACACGCACACGCGCCACGCACGCACGCACGCACGCACAGCACACACTACACAGCACACACAGCACACCTACTCACGGCCACTCACTCACTCACTCACTTCAACAGTCACATCTCTTGACACACGCGCACGGCCCGAATATAGGACGCAGATAAACATTACACTACTCATCAATGAGAAGAGGAGGGTAAGAACTACTATCAACCGCACCTTTATGAGTAGGAGGGTACATATCCAGCTCTGCCACGCGCCTCCCCCACGGCAACCTCGCGGCCCGAAGCCCGAAGGCTGCGATGCGCAAAACGCGCTGGTGCTGTGTCAGTCCGTGCCGACTTGTTTCATAACATCTCTCCGGGCCGGAAGTGTTAGCGGGTCGTCCGAAGATGGCCGCCGATCGGTCAGTGTCGTTTACACGTTTGACCGTTTTGACGAAGCGATCTGGTAGTGTGCGTTGAGCGACCAGCGTGCATGAGGATAGGATACATGATGTATTAGGTGGGTGGGTCACTGGCGTTCATGGAATGGATTGATGGATGGTGGGTCTACGGGATGGATTGGATGGATGGTGGATGGATGGATGGAATGGAGTGGATGGATGGATGGATGGTATGGATGGATGGATGGTATGGATGGATGGATGGCATGGATGGATGGCGATGGATGGATGGTGATGTCCATGATGGATGGTATGGATGGATTGGAATGGATGGCTATGGATGGATGGGATGGATTGGGATGGATGCGATGGGGCGGATAGCTGGCTGGATGGATGAGGATGGATGGTATGGATGGTATGGGATGGACTTGATTGCGTGGGTGGATGAATGATGATGGATGGATGGATGGATTGATGCATGATGGATGGATCAGATGCGATAGAGCGTGTGAGATAGAGAAAGAAAAGACAGAGAGCACATACGCGCGAGAGAGAAGGGAGAAAGGGGGAGGAGAGAGATATTCAGAGAGAGAGAGAGAAAGAGAGAGAGAGAGAGAGAGCGAAGAGAGAGAGAGAAGAGAGAGAAAGAAAGAGAAGAGCAAGAGAGAGGAATGCTTCAACCGTACAGCATTGACACACACACACACACACACACACATATACATATATATATATATATATATATATATATACATAAATATAAATATAAATATGATAATATGATAATGTGAGAATAATTAGGGGTTCACTTCTATGTATTTCTAATCTGTATATAGTGTTAAGTAAACTCACGCCTGCAGGAATGGAGAATCCACGAATAACTATGTCTTGCGATGGCATGCGAGTATTAGCAATACCAACCGGATACAAGCTGTGTGCCAAAAACAGAAAACTTTCACGAGAATGTACCCTGTATATTGGCCATTATTCAAATGCATAGAGCAAGCGAATTGCCAATTAATTTGGTGAGTAAAGTTATAGGACGAGTACGATTCGTACGCATGAGGATGAATAGTCATAGCTATTACTTTATCAACGGATAATTATATAAACGAGTACCTAATAGGCCCGTAGGACCTCATTACAAATACAAGAAACAAATATACTGTTAAAATCAAATGCGTGGCTATATACAACACGGGGACGCTGAGCTTGCTACATTCTAAGCGCCATTATCGCGAGGGTCGGTTCGTTTGCGGCAAACGAGAAGAATCTCGGTAACGAGTGTCTTAAGTGGACATAATTACGATGTGCAGCAATCACTCACCGAAGGGTTTCCTTGATGACTGCCTTCAGATATGGCAGCTTTTCTAGCGTATCGTGGGTCACTTCTTCCTCCGGGGAAATAACCGCCGAGATTTCCTTCCAAAGTTTCCCCTGGGATTCCGGATACTTGGCCAACAAGAACAGTGCCCAGTGGATAGTGTTGGATGTCTGAATACAAGAAGTACACCCAGTGTGATGTATACGATGTATAAACGCACAAAGGGCACTCCGTGGACATTATCGAAACAGTCGAGTAACAATTAACATGCTATTTACGATAGTAATTACAGTATAACTCATCGTGCATTAGTCTCGAGTGCTTCTGCATCGTGAATAGATTCATAGCACGGAGCCAATCCATGTCCCATCCATGTCCCAAGATATTTATAACCATTGGAATATCCTAAGTTGTAAATGGTTAAGCACACATGTCTCTCTCTTGCAAAGAAACTGATATGAATGTATACTCAAATGGTGATGAGTTGCAATTGGTTAAGCACCAATGTCATCCGCTTTCAAAGGAAACCCAAATGGCATAGTTTACTAAAGCGCGTTACTATGGCGCTACATGACTCACGTACCGTCTCGACTGCCGCAGCAAGCAGCTCTGCCACGTTGCCGTAAATCTCATCCGTTCGAATTTTCGGGCTGCAGTAGAGCGTTGCTAGGAAACCGGATGGAGTGATGCCCCGCTCCTGCTCCTGTCGCATAACTTCTAACCTTTGGTTAACCTGTTGCTCGGCTGTAACGAGAACGACGGTGATCGATTATGAATCAATATTGAAAACATTCAATTCTAAACATAGCCAGATGGACCCGTCCAAACCTGATGTAACAATATGTAGGAGTCGATACTATTATATTATTCTATGCACGCAGTTAGTACGAGGGTTTGCTGGCTATCTACCAATAAGTCTCGTTTAAAAATCCAATCCTCGTAATCTGAACATAAACTAAACTCCTAAATAATGGTGCGTTCGTTCTATTTCGTTCTAAAGAAAGTTTCGAAACAGGAAACATTGGTCTCGGATACCGATCGCAAATATGTAGTCCCACGCGGCGACCATGTCTCTCCAAGGTTTCACGTTCAGAAGCTTGGCCAGAGCGGGCGGCATCACAAACAGCCTCTCTGTCGCCGATAGCAGCACGTGCACTGATTGGATGAGCTGCTGTATGTCGTCACGCCGCGTCATCTCCAGGCAGCCGAGTCGGCAATCGAACAGGATGCATCCGACACCTGTTGGAATAGCTCTAGTGTCTAAAGCTGGGTTTACACTGCCAACTTTGTGTTGGCGAATTGCCGAATTGTACCAACTTCGCAACTTCGCAACTGACAATCGACAGTGTAAACGCAAAAGTTGCGCGTCCAACCGATCGATAGCAACTAGTTGGAAGATTAGAACATGTTCTAATTTCGCCAACTCGGAGTTGGCGTGTTGGACGTTTTTTTGCCAAGTGGCCAATCAGAGAACAGCAATCAGGGGTATGTCCCTCCACCCAGAGGGAGACCATTTGCGCGCGCGTTTCTGCGGCACGTGTCTGAGTGTGGGAAATGGTATTTGAGGTACTTTTGAGTACATGTACAGCCTTCATTCTGACTATCACATGACTATGCACAGGGGGGCATTGTTTAGGTCGGGTTCATTATTGAATATGTAGGGGTGACCACCACTGTGATAAGGGCGACAGCAAAACTCTTTCTTGTAATTGTGAAAAAAAGCTGCAAAAAGGTTGTAACCTCTGCTTTGCCACTCAATTACTGTGGCCGAGCAGGCGCGCCACGTAGCGGCACAATGCCGCAGGTATTAAGCGCGTACGTCATTACACATTTATATTAATTTGTTGAAATTGCTCATTTCACTAGATCGAGAGAGACCGAGCGAGAAAGAGAGAGAGAGAGAGCGCGCGAGAAAACGAGAGAGGGGGGAGTAAGAGAAAGAGGGGGAAAGAGAAAGAGGGAGAGAGTGCAACTCGGTGATTAAAAAACGGTGTTCGCGCATGCGTAATATCTCCCGAGAAAATTAATATTATGCAATAATTATGCATTTGAAATGAAGAGGAGTTATCCTAGCATAGATTTATATGATAACATTTCATCAGTAGACCTTACTTAAGAAATAGGAAGAAGATCTTATGGTATGTTATCACCTGATGTTATGGCATGTAAGGTGCACGCTGCATATACCAGTCATGATCAGTTCACAATCTGGCTACGTTCGTGTGTTAACGCAAGCGCAAAATCTCACCAGAAGAGTTATATTTTGTGATGACTATTTATTTATGGTCAGGGGGTCTCTCAGCATAGATTTATGTAATAAATCATTATCAGTAGACCTGTATTTATAATTAGGAGCGCGCCCTGTAGCGTGCAAACACCTACTTCACCCCCCGTCCTTCCCCTTGCCCCTCATTGTCCCTCGCTCCATCTCCTGCTTTTTTTACGGCCGCTCAGCTATCATTCCTACCGCCTTTTCTCAGTCTCCCACCCTTCTCTCTCTCAGCAAGCTTTTTACATTTAATAAATAATATATTAGATATTATGCAGTTTTCTTCAGTCATCTCAGTATCTCAGCATAGATTTATATAATAAATAATATATTAGATATTATTATGATAGGGTCCGGTTAAACGTGTGAGCACGGCCGAAGAAAATTATCTTGGCAGTGAACTGTGGGTGACCAACGCGCGAGCGCCATCTTCATGTACAATTAGCATACGCGGAATCCGGAGCGCGATGCTGCGAGCAAAGTGAATCTTGTAGATGGGATTTTACAATGCACACGTGACGTCGATTGAATGCCCAAGATCGGCCGAAGGTATTTATCTTGGCTTGCAACGGCGACGAGCGACGCGAGCGTCAGTTCATGTATATTACAATAGGGAAAATTGCTGCGGGATGCTGCGACCAAAGTGAAAATTTTGAATCACAATTCACAATCAAAGTGAAAGGATTTGCAATACGCACAAACTGTCCGGCATCCACGCTTTATTTTAAATGCGTAACATCGGCCTTAGGCCATTTACTTTAGGCGTTATGTCGCCGAGGTGGCGATGTCCCAATCGCTATACCTTATAGGGTAAGCATGGAAATAAGGCGGGCCGCCCCAACGAAGTAGTAAGGTCAGAATTTGCTATGTGCACCACGCCACCACCCTATCTTTTGCGTGCTCAATATCGTCCCTACGTCATTTACTTTTGGCGCTACGTCGCCGAGGTGCCGACGTCACGGGAACTCTCGAGGACACGGCGGAGCCGGAAGTTACAGAGAATAAGGTGTCGCTCATCAACCATTGCGTGCACGTACATCATACATGGCATCCTCGCATACGATCCTCATCCGCATCCCCAATATTATCTTCTCTTCCCCCTGTTCTCCTCTCCGTTGCCGCCGCCAAGAAACAGCACAACAAACAACAACAACAACAACAACAACAACAACAACAACAACAACAACAACAACAACGACGACGACGACGACGACGACGACGACGACAGGCGAATCCCGCCCACCGTGCAGACAGAACTAACGGATTATTGTAATAACAACACTGCGAGACAGGCAAGGAAGCTTACACGACTCTCTGTGGCATAAACGCCGAGGTACGGCACGCACAGGCGCAAAGACCCGTGCACAGTCACAGAGTCAGGATGCCGCGGTGTTGTCACGAGAGCATTGGGTTTGTCCAAGCACGTGCAGCCGAGCTCCTAATGTGCACGATCGCACGCACGCGTGCGCGTGATCGTGCGTGTGTAAGTGCGCACACGCGTTTATGTGCACGCACGGGTGTACGTGCGCGCATGCGTGTACGTGCACGCACGCGTGTACGTGCGCGCATGTGTGTACGTGCGCGCATGCGTGTATACTGCGCATGCGTGTATACGAACGCACGCGTGTATGTGCGCGCACGCGTTTACGTGCACGCATGCGTTTACGTGCGCGCATGCGTGTATATGCGCGCATGCGTGTATGTTCGCGCACGCGTGTACGTGCGCGCACGCGTGTACGTGCGCGAATGCGTGTACGTGCGCGCATGCGTGTATACTGTGCATGCGTGTATACGAACGCACGCGTGTATGTGCGCGCACGTGTTTACGTTCACGCATGCGTTTACGTGCGCATGCGTGTGTGTGCGCGCATGCGTGTACGTACACACATGCGGCGTGTATGTGCGCGCACGCGTTTATGTGCGCGTATGCGTGTACGTGTACGTACGCGTGTATATGCGCGCATGCGTGTACGTGCGCGTGTACGTGCACGCTTGTGTGTATGTGCGCGCATGCGTGTACGTACACGCATGCGTGTATGTGCGCGCACGCGTGTACGTGCACGCACGCGTGTATGTGTGCGCACGCGTGCGGTCATGTGCATCTGTGTACGGCAGATACGTACACTCACGTACACCTGTTGTACACGGGGAAGGTACACGCGTGCGCACGTGCACATGAGGAGGAGGTCGGCATCACGAGCATAGACAAATCCAATAGGAAACCCCTCCAGTACACGAACCCAACGCGAAAGGGCTCGGTAAGACCTGGAGACAATTAGACGTATACCTTAGTGTAGGGAAGAGCAATATACATATACCTACACATATATATATTATTATTATATATATATATATATATATATATATATACGTGGAGGGCACGTGAGTTACGGTTACTTAGTAATTAGTATG